CTCTCTCTCTCTCTCTCTCTCTCTCTCTCTCTCTCTCTCATTTTTTCTCTCTCTCTTGCTATTTCTCTCTCTCTTTCCTTTCGTTCTCTTTCTCTCTCACTCCTTCTCTCTCTCGTCCCCCCCCTCTAACTCCCTCCCTCTACCTCCTCTCTCACCTCCCTATGTTGCTGTACAATCCTCCCCCTCTGGGGCGTATTCTACCCCCATCCTATCTCCGGGCAAAAACGTCTTACCCTATGATGTGACATTCTGGCCCATTTGTTCTTCCATAATTCGCTATCTCTCCGGCGCAACAACAGAATCAACTTGATACGGTGACAAAAAGAAACAATCATGTCAATGCTTTTAACCGCTTGGAATTGAGACGTTTGTGGGAGACTTTTTATGTCTACGCCCTCTGTGTATTCCTTCCATTTGAATACACATTCTTACATATTGCTTTCAGCTCAGAGATCCATGGCAAATAAATTCTAAACTGCAGAAAAGAGTCTCCGATATAGAAATGCGAAAGAATTGAGAGAAGACAAAATCCCAGATAAATATACTCGGTTCAGAAACGAACTTTTAGCCTTTGATTCTTGGATTTTTCTTTAGGCGGATGAAAACGGTAAGTGAAGGAATATAAAAACGACAAAACATAAAAAAGGAATACAATGAACTTAGAGAACGCGAGATAATAGAGATGAGTTTGCTATTCGTGGTCGAGAGAGAGAGAGACAGAGACCGAGAGTGAGAGAGATAGGGGGGGAGAGAGAGAGAGGGGGGTGGAGACAAAGGGAGAGAAGACATTAGAAACTCATAAAAAAAAGATTGATGGGTACATGTGCAGAAATACAAAGTGGTTGTGAAAATACGTGTCGATTATATGCAGACAATTTTTTTAAAAGAAGGTGAAACAATAGGAAAATGTTTGAAATGTTTAACAGAAAGAGATAAACTTCAGATATATGACGCCCAGACCTAACATAAAAACATTATTCAAAGACAGATAAAAGGAAATGTGATATATCAGGAGTGGTGTCTTTGCAATTTAATTTGTTCTCTCTTGTCTTGTTGTATACTGTAATAATATATCAAAAATCTTTGTCTTTAAGATGTGAAGAAAATTGTAGACATGGTTGTTTCACCATCCCATCGACATAACTTAGTCCATTTAGGATAAGGTCTGCATCGACCCTGCCTGCCAGGGCAAACCCTGGCTGAGAGGGAAGCAACGTCCCTGCAGAAAGATGAAGACACTCGATAAAAATGGTCACCGTAAAGAAATCGAACTCATGTCTTCTGCTCGCAAGGGCAAAGCGGCTAACCGCTATACCTTAAAAAACGCCGGTCAGATTAAGACTAATTGCTAAAACACGTTCATCCAGCAAAATAACCCCTTCCAGTAAAAATTGGGAAAAAATACTTGCAAGCAGATTTTTTTACAAATAATAGTATAACAACGAAAGTATGTCATGACCTGTAAACCCACAGCGGTTATAATTATAGTTCATCGTTATCAAACTCTAACCCTCTAGGTTCGTGAACGATACAAGAAAACTGAGGGAAAAAAGAAGTCTCAAAGAGTGTTCTTTTTTTATACCGTAATGACGGCTGTCAATAACATAAACAGAGACAGAAATAATGTGGGACTTAATCGGGCGGATACACGGTTAAAGTCGGGCACTCAGAGTTCGTGTGTTTTCAATTTGGGTAAGGTATAAACCCCTAGATTTCCCAAATTGATGTGTCTGAAATGTTTAATACCCCCACTGACACTAGATGGATCATTAAGCAAACTGCTGCTTTAGCCCTGATCGCTAGGCCCAACTCTGGCTGAGTGGGATTTGGCATTCAATCCGAAAGACGGAGACAATCAGTAAAACAGACTCCCCTTCTCTGGATTCGAACACACATATTTTACATGAAACGGTGAGGAGCCTAACCGTTATTCAACTGACGCCGTGTGGGCGTCACTGAGCCTGAATTGTGCGTGGTGTGTTTATATGTTTGCGTTTGTGGGTGTGTAATTTGTGTGTATGTCTGTATGTGTGTGAGGGAGAGTGTTACATGTTTGCAAATGTTTATGTATGTGTTGGGTATGCATGTGTTGTAGGGCTGTACCCCGGTAGCAAACCCGCTCGTACTCACAAGCCCCTAGTTCAAGTCACAAGCCT